AAAGTTTAACCCTTTAGGTCTCTGCTCATTTTTATTCTTACTCCTAAAATATCACTACTATTTTGATCAATAAAAAATATATCACAACTATGATAATACATATAATTAACTATGTTTTAGTTGAATTTATGAACTGTTACAACTGACCCCGTAAGTGGGGACAATTGTAACAAGTGCACGACTGTCAAAAATTGTTAATAACTAATATAATAATAATCGGGTTGAGTAAAACGTTTTCCGCCAAGGCGAGATATCTCCGTGCCAGCAGCAGCCATTCCCGTGGTAGTTACCCTTTTCTGAAACAGACTTTTGCATTTTAAAGCTGAAATTTGGAACTACACAAGTGTGTAATTTGTTTGTCAAAACTTTATCATCTTGTGCACCAAAAAAGTGTTTAAAATGGAGCTATTATGCAAGCAGATCAGAACGATTATGTACTATGAGTTCCGAAATAAACTCAGTGTAACTGAATGCCACAAGAAAATGTGTGAAAGTTTAGGTTTCAATACTGTTTCTTATGATACAGTAAAAGTTTGGTTTCGAAAGTTTAATAATGGGAATTTCAACATTGAAGATGAACCACGCTCTGGCCGCCCTACTGAGGTTGATTGTGACCAATTGAAGCAAATTATTGATCACGACAGAAATGTTTCAACACGAACCATTGCGTTAGAGCTTGACGTTTGCCAAAAAACAATAGTAAATGCCCTCAAACGCATAAATCTAACATTTAAGTTTAACCGCTGGGTGCCTCACGAATTGATTGCTGAAGACAAGAGTAAAAGAAAAGCGGCCTGTTTGGTTCTGCTCAGAGATCAAAGAAAAGAGAACATTCTGGACAGAATTGTGACCTGTGATGAAAAATGGGTATACTACAACAATACTAGCTGTAAAGGAGGGTGGTCAGCACCCGGGGAATCAGCAGGTTCGGTTGCAAGATGAACGCTAACTAACAAGAAGGTCTTTCTCTGTATCTGGTGGGATTGTCTTAGAATTATCTAAAAGGAGTACCTGAAAAGCGGGCAGGCCATCAACAGTACAATATACAGCAATATGCTAATCAAAATTTGCGATGCCATTCGCGAAAAACGAAAAAAACGAGTTCAGAAGGAAGGTGGTTCTCTTTCATCAAGATAACGCCCGGCCACATGTCAGTGCAATGACCGGCTGGACCCTCTACACTCTGGAGTGGGATTTGATGCAACATCCACCGTACAGACCAGACATGGCGCCTTCGGATTACTATCTTTTTTCACATCTGCAGCTGCATCTTTATGGCACAATCTTCCGTTCAAATGACGAGGTCATAAATGAGGTTGATCGTTTTCTGGACTCGCGCACCCCCCAGTTCTTTGCAGAAGGTATTGAAAAGTTGCCAAAACGTTGGCAGACTATTGTTGATTTGAATGGAGATTACTATCCTCATTAGCTTTGCTGATTTTCTATGTATTTATCATTTTACTGGATAGTTTTTTTTTTGGCGGAAAACTTTTCACTCAACCTGATATTTAAAATAAGGTATTTATTTTTTTTTCTAGTAGAGGATAGTCTACTTTACTCGTCTGTCAATTAATACTAATAATATATTGAATTTTTTGTTAATTAAAAATAGTTAAGTAAAAAATATTACTATTGACCCCACTCTCCCCTACTGAACTGCAATATGCATCGGAATGTATTTGCATCGAATTTTAAAGAAGTAATATAAATTTAAATTCGATTTCACTTGAATTTTACATTTTGCCATGTAAAATGACATACTTTAAAATGATGTAAAAAATTGTATTCTTTGCAATTCAATTTTTCTCTACTATTATTGTATAAAATAATAAATATATACCAAAATTTATTTTATTATCTTTGTAAAAATGAATACTATAAGTGTGTGCTAAAATGATTTAATTTGCTTCGAAAGTTCTCGAGATATGGATCAAAAAACAAAAAAAGAGAAATTAATATTAAGGGGTCTAAACTTTGAATCGCTCTCCTGACCAAATTATGGGAATCATATTTCCCAGATTGAGGTCACCTCTTATATTTTGGGGGTACAAAATCCAAATCCGTCAAAAAAAGGTATGTTTATTTCGAACAAGTACGTTTCTATATCTGATTTCGTAACTTAAAATATTGTCTGATGTTGGTGAATTAAGGGGATATTAATTATCATATTGGAAGTGACCCTCTCAAATCATTAAGAATGAGTCTTAGAACGTGAAGATCTGATCATTAAATAAGTTTTTTTAGGGTGGTCCGTTTTCTTTTTTTTTTATGTGCATTGCACATGTTCTAAATCGACATTTTAAATAAAATTTTTCACCAAAAATAAAATGGCATGCAATAAATAAAATATTTCGAAACTCTAAAAAAAATTTCAATGAAATAAACAATTGGTTCATAAATTGTTCCTTTTTTGATTTAGGTGCAATATATTATTTTTAGATCAAAGTGTCCCATTCCACAGTTATGCAATTTAACACTTAAAAAAATTATTAACAATATCTTCATGGCCAAACCTTTAGACTCTTTGGTTAAAGAGTTTTGACTTATTACCTTTAGAATGTCACCGTAATCTTTGAATCAATATGTAAATATTTATGAAAGATAGCAGTCAAAAATAAATGTTTTCTGTGAAAAGTGTCCTAATACGTAATGGTGACATTTAAAATTTGATAAAGATATTTAAAAATTTGCGTGTTAAATACATTTAAAAATCTGCTTGCTAACGACATTTAAAAATTGACATTTAAAAAACATTTAAAAATTTGCTTAAAGTATTCGCCCTGCTGAACCTTTTGATTTTTTGGTTTAAAGAGTTCCTATTCAGATCACTCTTTAGAACAGTGCCGTAAACTTTGCTTATATGTTTGAATTATTATAAAATAAACTTGTTTTCTGTGGCTAAAAATGTCCTAATATGCAATGGACGCTAAAATATTTATAAAACTAGGATTCTCTACTTCATGTTCAATCTATTCACAAACCCCAGATGTTGCTTCTCATTTACCATCCTTTCTTTTTCTTAAAAACTTACATTTATCAACAAAAAAGTATTATTTTGTATATAAGTCATATGTTTATTGTACTTTTGTCTAAAAAGATTTCTTTGACACGTAAGTCGTAAAAAGATGAATGATTATATCCATTTGGAAAATAGCCAACTGTACTTAAAAATAGATATTGTGTGACACAATAAGGAGAAATAAATGAGAAGAAATTTTATTCGTTAATGATACAAAACTAAACAATAATGGTATAAATGAAACAAAATTTCAAACCCCTATATAACAAATATATCTCGCGTGTTTGTTTTATTTACAGCTGAACTGGCATTCTATTCAGATTTCTAAGTCACTAACTCTCGAAAATTGCAAACAAGTATGAGCTTTAATTATGAATAATTTGAGAATTTTTAGATAATTTGTATAATTATAAATGAATGCAGTTATGATCGGGTTATATTGAATATAGTTATGGTTGTATTATGATTTGTTTGAAAAGGCTTCTTTTTACACATAAAAATTAAAATTAAATTGCGTTAAGCAAGTGCAGCCAAACTGTTTCATGATTTTATCTTAGAATTTGTTCGATTATTCAAATTATTTATAACTCCTCATTAAGTTACATCAACAAACAAACGCGCGAGATATATCATCTTACAGTAAAGTACTCGACTTCTCGCGTAGGTCGTTGGGCTACAAAAGCGTGGGTGCCATCTCCTCGTCAAAAGTCTAATTGTGATGGCAGGTCTTCGCATCATCCTCAAGTATGTTTCCTAGGCCGTCGTCAACAGCCCACTGTGCAGCTCTGTTTCGACGTAAATAAATTACTAATGTAAGTTCTATTAGATGAATATATGCATAAAAGTCAGAGGTTGTAGATAAGTATATTCTTGATAAGTTAATACGCAAAGCATTTATGATTTCATACTTTTTTTTCCTCCGAAGTATAATGAAACCTTCCTTGCGCTGAAAAATTAACCACCAGCATTAATATTTCAAATTTTGTTTTAAAAAAAATGCTCATATTTGGCATAATTTTTATTTAATCAAGTGTATATAATTATTTGTAATGTATATTTCCAGTATGTCTAGAACAGTAAAACTTTTCCGCTGAAATAGCTCTTCAGTTAATATTCTTAAATTATTGATTATATCTCCAAAACCACAATATATTTAAATTCTGATAAAGGCATTTAAAAAAGAATCCAAAGAAAACCACTATAATTTGATGTTAAAAACTTTATACACTTTATCACATAATTGCAGCAATTTCATCTTCTTCCATTGATTCTATTTTGTTGTTTTTACATATTGTAATTAGTTCTTAAGCATTCTAATGTGAAGAAAAAGCACCGAGTTATCCACCATTTAAATTTGTGAAAATTTGTTCATTTGTTAAAGAAAACTACATATAGTAGTACAAAATAGTGGTTTTGCACTTAATATTGCAACAAATTTCAGAGAAAAAAATTTAAAATTAACTGTAAAAAAAGTTAAACGGATGTAGTTGGATTGCATTTTTGTAATAAAAAGCTTGAAATTAAAAAAAAGTGCTAGTATATGGCATAAAACGAAAAGTAAAATTGGGGGGGGGGGGC